TACTAGTAGTTTTTATATTATATCGGCAGTTATTAATGAACCTATTGATCCAACCAACTAAATTCAAAATTTGCTGATATTTTGAAAAATATCGATAATACCACGATAAATCTTTTTGTATATTTACACATGAAGTTATGAGTTTCTTCGTCTTTTCTTCAGTTACTGAAGGTTCGTCAACCATATAATCCTGAATAGGCCAATATTGTTTCTCTTGAAGTAACCAAAAAGGTCCCTCCCACCATCTAGACTGCAGTAGATATTTTGCAGAACAGCCTCTGGAAGGTAGATCAGCCGAATTCAATTTACCAGGAATAAAAAACCAATTTTCCTTTTTAGTTAGTATACGAATTTCTTTTATTCTATTCCAGACAAAAGGTTTCCATTGTTCTTCTCGATGAATCCATGCTAAAACTGTACTAGAGTCTGACCAGCAGTATACAGGAATATTGTTATTAAATGTTAACAATATCGAGGACAACAACCTTGCACCAATAGTAGCCGCTAGTAACTCTAAACGTGGAATCGACATCTTTCTTCTTATCGGAGAGAGTCTGTTTTTTGCTTGAATGAGCTGAATAGAGGAAAATCCTCCAATATCTTCTGTTCTCAGAAAAACCGCTGCAGCATAAGAATGCTGACTGGCATCGCAGAATAAATGCAAACTTTGGGAATTAACTTTAATCTCATTAGACAATGAACAAGAAAGGTACCTAGGAATTTTTAGATTAACAAGAATGCTAAACTCATGTACCCAGTCTAAAAACGTTTTCTTAATCTCAGCAGGAACCTCAGCATCCCATCCTATTTTAAGAGTCCACATATTTTGCAACAAAATTTTAATAGGCAAAAGAACAGGACATGAAAACCCAATGGGATCAAAAATCTTATTGGCAACAGATAAAATGGCTCTTTTTGAAACAGTGCTTAAATCAATGGTCTGGAACCATTCCAAACAAAGTTCTAAGGTGTCTTCTAAGCGATTCCACTTTAACCCTAAGAGATTAGACACAAATGTGTTAGGTATATCATTATTTAAAACTGTGTGTTCCCAAAGGCGTAAATCGAATTTTGCCTCATCCATTATTTTAGTTGACTGATCAATAAAGTCTTTTAATTCTTCCTCAGAATCAACACTTGTCACACAATTGTCTACATAAAAAGATTTTAAAAGTTTTTCTAAAATAGGATAGCTATATCGAGAAATGCTTTCAGTACAAGTATCTAAGATGCGACTCAAGTGAAACTGAATTACGGCATTAAGATGAAAGGGACTACAGGTTACCCCAAAAACAACTCGTGCATGTCGAAAATATATAAGACGATCATTTTTGTCATACCATAAAAAACGTAAAACATCTCTGTCAGATTTCAGAATACCAATTTGGAGAAAAGCTCGTCTTATATCTGCTATCACTCCAATTTTAAAAAGACGAAACCTTATCAGAATTGAAGGTATCAATTCAATTAAGTTGATACCTTTCTCTAAACATTGGTTCAACGATGGGAAACCTTTTTCTCTTGCCGAGGCATCAAAAACGGGTCTTAATTTAGTAGTAGCGCTATCTAATTTTATCACATGGCGATGAGGAAGATAATGAACATCTTCTTTCTTCTCCTCATTCTTAGGTACATACTCAATAATCCCTTCAGATAACCATTCCAAAAAAACTTTATCATATTCATTGTAATATTCATCATTTTTCAATTTTATCATTAAACAGTCGAGACGTCGTTTTGCCAACTTGAAATTATTAGGAATTGGGGGATGGCCTGCTATCCAAGGCAAAGCAACTTCGTATCTTCCATCATTATTAACAGTTACAGAATTTTGGAAGTGCTGAAACACTGCAATCTCTGCTTCTTCTTTAGTTTGTTTATCAATAGGATCGGTAATTCCAAGTACATCAAGATTCCATAGATTACAAATTTGTTCATTCTTACATAGAAGAGAAGTAACCATCATGCTAGTGGACTTTGAAATACTCAGACACGAATTAGCAACCTTTCCGAGAATAGTCCATCCTAGGAGCGTTTCAATAGCAGTTAAACCACATTTTAAATTATACTTCTTGCCCGTGAAGAGTTTTCCCACAACATCAGCTCCTATCAGGATATCAATTGGACCGTCATCGGTATCAGCTATTTCTATCCCTAATTGTTTTAACTCTTGCATCCAGGGACCTTCATGGATAGAAGTTATATTGCTACATATTATAGGCTGGTCTAAAACCTGGAAATTACATGCATATCTTTTATTTAAATTATCTAACCTAATTTTATATACAGAGTGGTTGACAATTTCTGACTGACCACCAAATAATGCATGTACTATAGACTCAGTTCCAAGTGGTTCAAAATTCATATCAGCAGCAACAAATTTGTTAATGTAGGATCTTTGAGAGCCGGTGTCTATTATACATCTCACTTTTCTTGTACAGGTATCACTTTTTAGTTCAACAACAATAGTCTGTAAAAATACTTGATGGTATGTATTATTCGCAAGGGATTCTACGTTTATACTGTTATTAATTCCATGACTTTCTTCGGCTACTATTTTTTCACCTGTCGATAGGTTTGGACACATTAATGAGACATGTTTTCCTTTACATTGTTGACATTCTAATCGAACTCGACATCGGCGAGCTATATGACCATGTTTTAAGCATAGATGACAATGTCCCTTTTTCGACAATATATTTTTCTTCTCAATCAAGCTCATTTTGTTAGCATCAATACAATCGTCACTTAGATGAGTACCCTTGCAGAAAACACACTTGAGCACCTTTTGATAATTAATCAGCCCAGAAGCTGTCGGAATTGAGATATTTTGTTTTACTTCATTTTTAGATTTTAAATCAAAGCAAGAAGTAGCCAGGCAAATTTTCTCTTCATCTTCAACTTCTTTCTTCAAAAATGTCATCAGTTTTATCAAACGATTGTCCGTACTTTCCGAAATAGGAGTTAATTGTAATTCGGAATTGTTTTGACTTCTCTGCCATATTCTTAGAAGATTTTCTGGGAGGCACGATTCCACCAGTGGGAATAACATTGCAGCATATTTTTCTGAAGTTACTCCTAACGTCTCCAACGACTGAAGCTGCGATTCGAGTCTATCAAAAAGTGTGACAAGATTGGTTTTAACTTTTAAATTACTTAGCACTAATTTCAACAATTCACGGACATAGAATTCTATTAATAAGTCATCCTTTCCAAAACGTGCCTTTAAACTGTTAATGACTTTATCGTAATTTTCTGCGCTAGGTGGGTAACTTTCTACTAACTGTCGAGCTCGGGATTTTGAAATAGTAGATTGTACAAGATACTGGAATTTGTCTTCTTTTTCAATACTTGGATCTTCGTGAATTCTTTTAAATTGGCTCCAGAATGGAATCCATTCATTTAAATTACCTCCAAATTTTTTTAATTCGATACGTGGCAGTTTCAACTTAGTTTTGAAACAAGTATTAGAATGACTTGATTTACTACTATCACAAATGCTGTCACCAGAATTCTTAGGAAAACGTTCATCAATTGTAATTTTTAATTTATTATACTTGCTATTCAATAGATCGGAGTTCATTACTTCAGCAATTATTTTTGGTTCGGAGGAATCATCAGATGAATCAAGTAACATATCAATTAATTCCTTACTAAGGAGGTTAATATTTTCTATTTTGTTATCCAGGACAAAAATATTGCCTTTTATAGAAGTGGCATCGGGTTGAGAAAGATCTAATTCGCTAATTATATCTTCAAACACTCTATCAAAAGCATTACGTTGAATGTCCAAAAGCCGTTGTGTCTTCTCCATAATCAAAAGGAACTGCAGTGTCCTGTCACGGTCGCCACAAATGTTCAGAATGGGTTAATACCTACCCGGTATAAACTCTTCTAATAAAAATATATATGGAGATTTGATATAATTCAAAACGACTTTATTCAAAAATATAACATTGACAATCCAATAATATTTATGACATTAATAAAAAATAACTATATCGGTGTAGAAGACTATAGAATAGACCTAGATATCAACTATTAGTATCTTCATTTTCTACAATATGGGTCTAAAATTAGACGGCTTAGTCAAGTCTCCTCCCTTATAGAGGGTGTTTCATTGGTAAATGGGAATATGTTAACTGCATATGGGGGTCACCTAGTCGGTTCCAAAAAAAACAACTATATTTTATAGGTCTGTCGCCCTTTGTAACCGAGGTACAGGGTGTTTGATCAATTTTGCTGATTTTTTCTAGACTCACAACTTTTGAAACAGGCTGTATAATTTTTTGATATTTGGTGTACGAGTACACCTTAGTTTGTCAAATCCAGTGACGTTTCAATAATAGAGAAAATCCAGGTCTGGAATAACAAAAAATAAATTCTTTGATACCTAAAACAACACCCTGTATATCATAATTTTGAATATCTGTTTACATATTCGAAAAAAGCAGAAAAAATTGAGTTACACCAAGGGGTTTTGGTATTTCCGCATACAGTTTTCTTACTTATTAATTTGAGTCAAATCTAAATGTTTCATATTATCCTGATGCAGTTTTGTTGTTTATCTAATTAAAAACTTTTAAAATCTGAGTAATTTGTTTCTCTCAAGAAAAATGAGTTTTAAATACTCTAGGTGAAGATTTTACAATTTCTAATGGGTCAATTGTTCGATGTAGATTTGTTAGATTTTCAGCGATATTGCAATAAAATGTATTGAAATGTATTTATTTTTTTTTTTATTAAAATTAACGTGTCTCAATTACTTTTTGCTAAACTAAAATTAATAATTTGTGTCTTTATCAAAGCCAAAATAATAATTGGATTTTTGGCGTGGACTAAACAAATTCAAATATGACAAATATGCATAACTGACATGACCAACTTTGCAAATTTCATTTTAGGCATTTTAAATCATGTCTCTCAAGTTTTAAGTGAAATAAATTTAAAATAATTTAAGACTAGAAATATAATTTAAAAAAACAAAATAAAAATCTTACCTCCACACACAAAGAATCGTGGTTGAAGTAAGCCCTAACGGCCAATACTCCGTAGGGACAGGTGGTAGCGTTTATCTGGTCCTGCAGTCTTTGAGCGTAGAACATCTCCATGAGCGTCTCAGTATCAGTTCTGTGGTACTGCAGCCTTTGCTCTATTTGTTGAAACATCGGCGAGTGAAGGCTTTGCATGGTGAGACCTTGTCCGTCCGCGTGGAAGAAATCAACGATTAGGCCCAAGGCCACGTGAAGCCTTTCGTGGAACATGTGTGGAATTTCGTCGCTGTTTGAACCACTCTCCATTTGGTAATTCAATTCGGACAGAGTGTATTCCCATACCTAGAAACACAAAAAGGTATTGTTTAGATCTTTCTGTTCATGGACATACGTTTCAGAAAAGAAGAATAATTAATGAGACTAATCACCGTCATAAGGATAAAGTTCCAAAAAAGAGAATATTTAAACAGCCTTCAAGTCACTCTAAACTTCTAACAGTAGGTAATAAAGATTATTGTAATCTCTATTGGAATAAAATACCAGATCTTCAACGATCATTAAACTTAAAATATTTCTTATTCTGTATTCGTTATCGCATATTAGAGCTCTCATGATATATATCGTTCTATTATTCTTAGGTCTTCGTAATATTGTTTTCATGTTTTAAATATTTGTTTTAGTTTTATTTTATAAAAGTTTATTTTTGAGTAGTTTTTTATTTGCACTGAAAACTCTATTTGCCGATATAATTTTTTTCTTCTATTTCATGTGATCATGTGTTCCTATTTTTACTACTCTATTATTGGTAGCAACTAAATCTTACAATTTTCGTGAATAGAGATTACCAAACGAGAAAATAAAATAAAATAACAAAAATAAAACAAGTAAGAATTAGATGTAAGGTGAGCTGGACATTACAAACTAGAAAGGTAGAACCCAGATCAAAGTGAATACAGAGGTGGAAGAAGATTTACGTAAGGCAGATATTACAAACTGGAAAGGTATATTACAATATAAGAACAAATGGAAGAATATCGTAAATAGTGTCATTTAAAATATTGTAACAATAAATAATAAGGATCTAGGAAGCTTTATGCAGCATAACTCCAATATGCATGGGTGAGTATCCACTATATACATGGATATTTCTGCATATTATTGTACTTAGCTCTCCAGACTCTTCTTATCTTCTAGATACTTTAACCATTTCCTCACCAATTGTTCAACTGTTCATTTTGCACCAATCTTGTTAAGATTTGATAAGTTTCAAAGACAATCTCCGGTAAGAAAAGATACTATTTTGGATCTTTTTTTATGTACCAAGATATGTTACTTTTAATTTATACCACCGAACGACTGATAAATGTCGTCTCTTAGCAAGACTTTAATAAGAAGAATAGAAAAATGAAGACTCGTTATGCTCTTACCTCTTGCAGCACCTTCTGGAAATTCTGCGGAAGTAGCGCAATATTGAGCGCTTGAAGGTGACTTTGAAGATAGTCGAATAATGGTTGGACCGCCTGGTTGGTGGGTAAGGTATCAGGTGACCACGCCACGTGAAACATTGCTTTTCTTAAGGCTTCCTGCATTTGAGGTCCGACTCTTTTGATAATGTCCCTTATCCTAACTTGGAACTGGCTCAAAGTACTATCTAATTGGTTCGTTAGGGTTGCAAATTGCATTTCAGTCGCTATCGTTTCTAGTGTTACGAAATCGAAATAATTTTCTGAAAGAAACAAATAATTATTGATCTAAAATATATAATACCGTCAAACGGGGTTAAGTGAATCATAGTGGGAAAAATGAATCAATGGACACTTTTTGGAAAATCGGCAATGTTGTCATCGAAAGCTTTAAGTTTATTCCATGTGCCTATCAGAGTGTCGCTTCAGTGTACCTTTGAACGTAGTACCGAGTGTTTTGTTGCGTTTAAGTAGACTGGTAAGTTAGACGAAAAGTTTATGGGATCAACGATTTTTTGTTTATTTATGAAATATTAAAAACGACACAGTGTAGAACTCATTGTTTTAAAATTTAATTTGTTTAAATAAAATAAATTTATTAGGTAGTTAGCAATATAATATTAATATATTTCATGTCGTAATATTTGTAGTAAAGTTGTCACTTTTTTTTATTGAAAAAATGCCGGTAAAAGGGGTAAAGTGAATCACTCATGTTTTTGTAATATTTGGGTTGCATTGTATAAATTGTTTATTTTTATTCTGTCATATAATAAAATTGTGCTGTTTTTGTATTTTTATTAATATATTTTTTTAGTTTCAGCATGCCAAGGGTGTATAAAAAAAAGTTGGGACCATGAGGAAAATGTAATTATGAGCCGGTGTTGTTGTCCGGGCATTGGCAGAGGTTCGACGCGGAATGTCTAAAAGAGAAGCTTTAGAACAGTTTGGCGTTCCTTTAAGCACAATTCAAAGAAGGTATCATGGAAAAAACCCTTTAAAATATGGTCGGCAGACTGCACTAACTGAAGCTCAGGAAACTAGACTAAAGAAAACCCTAGAAATTTGTGCCGAGTGGGGATTTCCGTTAAAATGTACGGACGTTAGGACAATTGTGCAACAATATTTAAACGAAATTGGAATGACAGAAAAAAGATTTAAAGAGAATATGTCAGGAGTCGACTGGTTTAAAAGCTTTATGAGCAGACATAGAGACCTAACTTTTAAATTGGCAGAAAATACGAAGCGCGTTAGAGGAGCTTTAACTTATGGCGTTTTTTTGCTCTAAATTGATTCATTTTACCCATAGACATTTTAAAATGAGTTTTAATACAATTTATATGCATGATTTACTTTACCCCAAAGTAGAGGGTAAAGTGAGTCACTCTTTAACAAAAAAAATTATATATTTCTGTTTTTTCAAAAAACATGATTTATCATTAAAACCACTCGTAATGAGTGTCACAACCATCAATATTTTTTGTATATTTTTAGTTTCCTTATCTTTGGAGAAAAGATAAAAAAACGTGTTTTTTTGATTCACTTAACCCCGTTTGACGGTACTTTTCGAAATTCAATTTATATAGGTTGTTATTGATAAACAAATTAAGCTTAGAACTATTTTCGAACGTGTAAAATTATTATTTTTAAAAAATATGTTAAATCATGCGCACACCACTGCATTTTACACGGGTCATGTACAAATTAAGGTAACCAAGTTTGAATTAGTTCTAAGCTGGTAGCTAACAAGTACTGTCATTCGCGTTGTTGCCAAATTTTGTTTTGGTACACGATTACCAGTAAGAATCCTGATCTAATTTCTAGAGTTAAGGGTATTTTACAAAGACGACCTGTAGTGAAAACTTTATTATTTTCGGTTTTTAACATTACCTTTCTACACATAGTGCGGTAACCCATGGATCCTTCGAAATAAAAATGATACGCTTAATTATATTTGCACGTGAGTTAAATAAAGAGAGGAAAGAGAGGCTCTTAAATCGGCTGACTGCCTGCCGATATTGGACCGATGGCTACACCTCTACCACTAATGGGCTGGCGCGCACTATTCTACCTTCGTTTAATAAATGGCATCGCTTATTCTATGCCGTTCTTCTGGCGTCATATAAAGTATATTATTGTTAATAACAAGTAGGTACATTTCTTTTAATAACAACCTATATTTTTGTTGGATTTGGTTTATTTTAACGTACAACTAATCGAATTAAATTACCGGTTTTGAGCTTACATTAAATTGTAATTAGATGAAACAAAATGGATTCTATGTATTTTGAGGTGATCTTTTCGAAAAAAAGCAAAACAAAATGTAGCAGTTTTTCGAAAGTGCCGAAATTTTGGATTTTGTCAATTTTTCAATTTTGCGCATGCGCATGTCGCAAATAAATCATTATTTTTAAAACGCAGTTTACGACATTTGAAAGCTTAGAAAAAATGCTAATTTTTATGTCTCTTGAGAAATTTTGATCGGATGCACCGTTCTCGCGGTATGGACGATTGAAATTTGTTTAGTATTTTGAGGCGGCGAAGGTCGAAAAATTGAATTTGTTAAATGTTCAAACACTAAATTCTTCATAACTTTGGTAAAAATTAAGACATTTGAAGAAACAAAAATTCGTTTTGAACTTAAGGGATGTGACTATTGATTCCCAGAAGGGGGCAAGAGAAATTCCAAAATTGGGCATATGGCGGAAGGGCAAAGTGTACTGCAAGCCTATTTTCATTGTTTGTCTATAACGGCCAAACTATTTAAATTTATTTAATACCACTTACAGAGCTTACTCGTAAATATGAAATATTATACGTGTGTAAATTTTACCGAAATCGGATTATAATTGGCCAAGATATCAAACAATTTAAAAAAAATTTTTCCCTAAAAAAAAACTAATTTTTTTTTCGAAAGTTTGAAATTGCACAAAAATGCCAAAAATGCACCCAATGACTCAAAACTTTTTTTTTGAATACTCTATTATGTCTAGAATACGATTACATTACGGAAAATTCTGCAAAAATATTTTATCTATTTTTTTGACCACTGTTCATTGAGTGACGACAAAAAACATGGTTTTTGAGAAAAGTTGCCTAAAATTGACGATTTTCAGTTTTTGGTCTGAAAATTGAGCAAACCCAAATCTCATGTCTTCTGAATGTGTACCTTAAAGTGTGTATGTTTCTTCTAAGTTGTAGAATTCTCCCGACAAAAGTTCCATTACACGCGCTCCGCGGGATCCAAAACTCGTGCATTTCTGTAATTTGATTTTTTTGTGATTTCCAGTTTTAAATTTCTTACATACCTAAATTTATTAGGCCTAAAATTTATTATATTGTATTTTACTGACTTGTTATAAGACGTTTCTTGAGTTTTGTGCAAAAAATAGAATTACCGCAAAATTAGCCGGACGTCGCGTCGTTTCAAGGATAGTCATGGTCTCGGCGTTCGCTATCCGACAAGTTTAAACTTGAAACGGTCATATTATTACAAATTGAATCGCTTGATAGTGTATATCGGCATAGATTTTTAATAACCGTGTTTAGCAAGCTCTGTGTACACGTCGTTTTTCGGACTTCTTCAGCAATTTATTAAGTAAGTACGTTCTTAAATTAAGAAAATTCTATCAAAGTGCTATAATTTTTTTGTTTCCAGGTTGCAATGGCTGGACTGTGTTTATTATGTCATCAGAAATTTGCAGAGGGTGAACTTACCCCAATTAGACCGACAGGATTGAAAGGTCTGCAGATGGTCAGCAAAGAAAGAGGGGATGATTTTTTCAGTTCTTTAGAACCAGGTTTTATATTGCATGAAAGGTGTCGCAAACATAACGTAGCTCGACGTTACGGAAAAGAGTTTATTTATAAAACCTGGGATAGGCATAAAAGGGCCACGATTGACAATGCCAAAAAAAAAGGAGGATGGAGCATCAACCGAGAAGAAAACCAGATATTAGAGAACAAAAAACAAGCTTATCACCAAGTTGGAACTTACACTCAAGCTTAGGATTCATTTCCTAACATTTTTAAAGTATACCTTTTTGTATATTTTTTGTGCACTTTCCGATGGCGCAGTTAGTTTCTTCAAATATATTTTTTGTTAGATGTTTTCGGAAAACCCGGAGAAAATCATATATGAAAAAATTCAAAAAAAATTACGCCTTCCGGTTTCCTGCGAATTCCCGAAAAATTATGGCAGATTTCGCCGCGGGACTTATTTTATTTGAGAGCCCACAAAAAAATATGCAACTTCTCTCATGGGCACATATGTCTAACATTTATAATTTCGCCACAAATTCATCGCAAATTTCATGTTCATGATTCTGATCAAAGAAACGAAAAATCAACTTTTTGGTAAAAGCACTTCTGGCGGCGAGAAATTCGCCATTAAAACTACCTGTGCAATGAAATTCCGAACTATTTTTGCCTCCTCTTTCGATTGATGCATTTATTTTTACTATCAGAATGATACTTGCCCAGATAATTAGCATTTTTACCATGGAAAATTCCGGAAAACCCGGTTTTTCCTAATTTAAAAAAAATTGAAAAACTGCTACGTCATTTTTTTCCAAAAGATCACATCAAAATACACAAGCTCCACTTTGTTTCATCCAATTACAAATTAATGTAAGCTCGAAGGGGCTTTTTTTCGTTATTTAATTGGACTAAACAGATCTATGAGAACATTTTTGTAAATTACTTACCTAGTAAAGATACAAATTTATAAACGTATTCTAGATTATTCGTGGAGACGCACATCTCGTCGCATATCCTAAAGGGTCCTAGTCTGTCGAAATAACCAGTTTCCATCAGTGATTGGTACGTGATATCCGCGTAAAGCAGCGCCGCCGAGCAGATGCAGTCCAGCAATTGGGACAGCAGCAGAATCGAATGGGCTTTAGGCCATTGAAGGAGGCGCCAAAAGTCGCGTAATTGACAGAACATTGTAACTACGTCGACAGCCGACGAGCTGTGACGTACGAGTTTGTCACCGTCGCAACCTTTTTGGATGTCCACCGATGTTCGAACCTGAAACAAAAAGAATTTTCATAATCGCCATTGCTTGAATATTAAATCAAGGACACTAATTTGTGTGAATATCAAGCAGTTTGCAGTGTTTACTCTTAGGTGACGTCGATGTGTACTTGTCGATATCAGATGTGTTTTAATATAAAATTATGTGAATCGGTTGAAAGTTTTTCTAGATTACGAAGCGTTGAGTTGGAGTTGGAAATATACGGCCGATTTCGTTAAAGCTGTTCATGTTAGATTGATAGATTTGAAAGGAGTTAGTTGGACCTTTGTCCTTGTCCATCCCTTTTTTAAATCTATTGTGCAACTTTGTTCTGTAGAGTATGTAGTCTAACCTGGTCTGTTTTATTTGATCGAGCACAAATTCTGTCTAGTCATAGTTAAATATTAATCGGCTCTAGTATTTTCAGGGTAATTTAAAAGCTTTCTAGCAACTCTGCAGCTTCTTGTTTCAGTCCACTTTTCCTTGAATTTCATAAAGCAATGGTATTTAGTTAGGTTTGTCATAACCGATGTTATTAGTCCAATGGCAAAGCCAGGTCCAAAAGCGTAATTGGTTGGCTGCCTTCTTGATTATTGAATCAACATAATGGTTGCGTTAATTGTTCAAACTCTTTACCTATTGCTTCAATTCAAAAATAACATCGTCGGTTCATAAACTCTAGGACTCTTTGGAATATTGCTGATATAGCTTCTACATATGTAAAACTATCCATTATTCTTGCTAAGAGATTTTCCTCATTACGAATAGGCATTTCGTAGATTAAAGATAACCTGAAACAATTCTAGGATTTAAAGATCTAAAGAACGCGCGAGCCAGATCACGGGACCTCCTCTTCCAGTTCATAGGCGAGGAAATCGCGGGTCCACATACTAGCTAACGTTTAAACCAAAATGTGGAGGTGTACCGTAAAGGCAAACCATCTTCCAGAAAAGGGAGATAAAAGTATGCGTTTACACGAGTAAGTGAACTATATAGTGTCCAAATTTGACATTCCGATTTAATTTGACCGATATTTTTGGTAATATTCATTGACAGTATTTCTATGGTGACATATGTCAAGTAAAAACTTTGAGGTTACAACATGGAACAACTGTCTATCGAAAACCTCGTTTTTATTGTGGAAAATTATTATCAAAATGAGGAATGTTTTGCTGAAACTGCAAGAAGATGCCTTACGCATTTCAGAAGAAATTTAGCACCATCTGTTAAAGTTATTGAGAGTTTTATGAAGAAATTTCAACAGCAGAATATGGGGTGAAGAAAATCCATGAGAAAAATTGGAAAAAACTGTATCTAGGAAATGTGATTGTGTGGTGTGGTTTTTGGTCTAGTGGCGTTATTAGTCCTTATTTTTTCCAGAATGAAGATAGTGATCCGATAACTGTAAATGGAGCGCGATACAGGACAATTATTACGAGATTATTTGTGGAACGAATTAGAAGATATGGATGTCCAGAACATGTGGTTCCAGCAAGACGGTGCCACTTCCACACATCGGATAAAACACTAAATCTTTTAAGAGAGAGATTTGTTAATTGTCCGCCTAGGTCGTGCGACCTTACATCATTGAATTATTTCTTGTGGGGACTTTTGAAGGGAAATAACCCTTAAACACCTGAACAGCTTCGAGTTAACATTATTCAAAAAAATGAAGAAATTGAACAGAGTGTTTGCGAAAATGTTCTTGAAAATTTTGTAAAAAGAATGTTAGCATGCTAAAGAAGCGGAGGAGTCACACGCCGGATATCATTTTTCATTATTAATCATAACATTAAAACTTTAAAATATTACAATAATATTATATTATTTCAATGAATTTTTGTGTTTTATTATTAAATTAAATCCGAAGGTCAAATTTGGACAACCTTTATTAGATTCTCCAACAATACCAGCCCACAAGTTTATAGAAAATTGTTGCAGGTGTCTTCTAAAGAGCACACAATTGGCAAAAGGCTAATCGATGTGAATAATCTTCAGGATTTAAAGTTTGTACGCATTGTAAATGGTAGAGGAGTTTTTCACGCAGGACATGCTGTACCGTCGACTTATAGGACCCCGTATTGTGGATAGATTTTCCTTCACATGGTGTAGAACTTTAAATCAACCGTACGAGCTACTCTCGGATGACCACCATTATCAGAATGCTTTAGGTTGCCCCTTTCTCTAAGGCGACGATGAATGGAAGCAAAGGTTGTATGATGTGGCTTCAGGCGTTCTGGATATCTTTGTTCATACAAGCGTGCAGCTTCTCTTTCATTACAATTGGCCGCAATATAAGCAACGTGCATATAAGTAACATCTTAAAATGATAAATTATCGTCCACTTTCAACACAAATTAACAAAAATAGTACTACTGAAGAAGGGTATCCAACTCCACAAATGTGGTCATCTTTCATCTTATATTTTGTGTTACTTTGATACTAAATAGTATTACGGTTAAAAATTAGCAGCATTGGAATGGAATGGAACAAAAAAACGTAGTTAAAACAAAATATGTCGAACGAAATGAAGAATTAATTTAGTTATTTGGAATGATTTAAAATATTTTATTGCTCAGGGCCCAAACAGCTTATTTTTGGAAATATATGTTTATTAAACAAAAAAATCTGATGTGTCCAACACATGACTTTCCTATCTAGTTATTACGTAAAAACAAAAAAAATCAGAATTTTGCACATTTTGTCAAATTTCTCGAATACGGACCATTTCAGGAAATTTTGACATAAAACAAAAATTATAGAAAATAATATTAGAAGTAACTGTTAATTGAACAATTTTCTTCTCCAAACATAAATAACAGATATATTCCATAAAATACAAAAACGGTCTCCCATAAAGTACCCCCCCAGATGTTCCGACTTTGTCCAAAATCTAATCATTGCACGTCAGGCCGAAATAAACCTTAAGTTTAAAATTTAATGTTTTTTTCTATATCCGTTTTTGAGTTTTCTTCAAAATTCGAAATTTACACATTTTCTCAAATATCTCGAATACGGTTCATTTTAGAGAAATTATGTATAGAATAAAAATTATAGAGAATTATATTACAAACAACTTTTATTTGAACAATTTTTATAAAAAATTATTTTTTTTACATTTTGTCAAATTTCTCGAATACGGACCATTTTAGGAAAATTTTGCATATAACAAAAATTATAGATAATTATATTAGAAGTAACTTTTATTTGAAGAATTTTCTTCTCCAAACGTAAATAACAGATATATTCCATAAAATATAAAAATGACCACCTATAAAGTACCCCCCCAGATGTTCCGACTCTGCCCAAAATCTAATCAGCTCATTGGACGCTGAAACAAAGCTTAAGTTTAAAATTTGGTGTTTTTCTGTGTATCGGTTCATGAGTTATGCGTTATACAGACACACACATAGACACATAGACACACAGACACACACACACACACAGACATCATCGCGAAAATAGTCAAAACGGATTCAGGGGACCTCAAAACGTAAAAATCCGTCGAAAACTCGAGGTCGAAAAAAATCATGATTCCTATACTTTCCTTATATCTGTATACAGATAGGAAAGTAAAAAGTTTGTTTTGATAATCCGTATCATCCCTTAAAGTTTGTCGGTATGTTTTTGGGGCACTCTGTATACTGCGACTAATTTAAAATGGGAGCAATTATGTAAACTAGTGTTCTCGAAACTCGACCATAATCATTATTGAAAATTTAAGAAAAACATATATGAATTTGCATGTTTCCAACATTTTTTTTTCTACTCTTATACATTCGTTCATTATTTATCTGAGACCATAAACTTTTATATGAACTTCCAATACAACATAGTTCAGTACAATTATAATAAAACAAAAAATAAATTCAATAAAATTACAGTAAATCACCATTTAAAAACCCTAATTTATTGAAACCACAATCATAATTTGTTGATGTTAAAATAATTGTCTTAAAAAATTGTTCAGATAATATATTTTCACGAATATTACCATAAATGTAATCGAAATTCATATGTCGCAGGTTGCCAACAAAAAAAATACTGTTTCCAATTTTTTCTATTGATTCTAAAGCTCGTCAATAGCTACTTAACAAAAATTAAGAAAAGAAAAAACAAAATCAGTTTACAAATAGAAGAGAAAAGGTACTGTAATGTGAGCTATTTCATTTTTCAGTCATGCTCTAATCCTCTAAGTCCCTCTTTGTCTTATTTGGCCTTTGAGGCTCAACTTGTCCGATTATCATACATAATTAAACCCCTAAAGACCAAACATATGTAACGGCTATGGCGGAGGAGCTTTCGATGACTATTCGAGAAAGAACGGGATAATGTTTCTAGTGTATTCCAAATATAATGAGATGTCTCTAGTATTGGTGAGAATTGGTGAACATTCTAGTACCTTCGCCAAACTTTTAAATTTGTATATAAATATTGGTTGAGGATCAAGCGGGAATCAGTTATTATATGGACAGTGAAGATAAATAGTGAACAGTTTAAAGACATTCGAAATATATATATATATATATATATATATATATATATATATATATATATATATATATATATATATATATATATATATATATATATATATAAATTAGAATAATAGTGTTATAAAATAAATAAGTGTTTAAATAAATTATTAATAAATAAACTGTTGTTTAAAATAAACAAACATCACAGTACTTAACTATTTTGTCGTTGCCTATTTAATATATAGATACTTTCATTAATTTGATCAAATAGTCTATATAATCTAAAGAAAATAATGTTCTCCTACGTATTGCTACTAACCAAAATGGATATTGTTTTAATGAAAATTCTCTTGTAAGGAAATATAATTATCAAGAAGCGAAACATTATATCATTACTCATTTCCTTCATTACTTACAACTTTATACTTCAACAACTTCAGGCTAATACAGCTACAAAGCCAACCTCAGAAATTACCAGACGAATTTTAATCTATTTCCCTATTATCAAAATTTTAAATCATCATCAGTCTTTATTAAGAAATAAGCTATCAAACAGGCTTATACACAGCAAGTTGGCGCAGTTTTCAGATTTTAGGATGCTAGAAAGAAAATCCCTCAATTTGTGATAATGCAGAGGAACAGCGTCAAGGCTGGAATGGGAATGGGATGCTGACGGAAAGGGAGGGCTTGAGATTGAGATGAAAAAACGTTGCACAAAATTAATCAAAATCAAAGTCACTTATGCGTGATTTATTTAGTGCGAAAGTAAAAAGCGTTGAATTTCGATAGTTGAAGAAAGGGAATTTTTGTCGCTTTTTTGATATATTTAAATAATAAAATTGGCAAAATTAAAATTGTTGAAATAGCATTGAAAATTATGTAAATTTGATAAAAATTAACTGTTAAAACTAAATAAACATATCATTAAGTCTTGAAATAAATGCGTCCAATGTATATTTAGCCATTACAATATTTTCAACATTCAAAATTATTCTTTGCATTATATACAGCGTCCAAATAGCCCGGAAAGGCTCAGATGAGATGAAGACAGGCCATTCTGTTAAGTTGCTAAGGTGTTCAGTAAAGTATCCATCAAAGAGTGGATGTAAAAAGAGTCTTAGGAAGGGTACAATAACCATACAGGACTGAGACAGACCAGTTTACCAAGGAACCATCGGCAAACTTTACAAAAGTTCTACTGGATCAAAAATGATAAATTGTTAGATTAACAGTAGGTCTCTTATCGGATACTGTCGCCTAAGAAACCACATTGTATCGGTTTTATGGAGAACTTGTGCCAGCGTGAAGTGCTGATTATACTGAAGTTTCTAACACTAGAGGAAGAAAAGCCAAACATATATTCGTAACTACATGGAAACCACTGTAAAGCTCATTGCCAAATACGGAAACCATCCATAGAAATGAGCTGTGAGACTCCAAAGTCTGTAGGAGGTGTGAACAAGAAGATAAGACTATAGAACATATCCTCTACGATTGCATGACGCTATCATCTATTAGGAGATTTAGGTTCGGCTTGTATTGGCTAACACCGGCCAACATAAGAGAGAGGGGCTGGGTGACGAGATCATAGTGGCGTATTGCACAATTGGCCTAGTGACTTAAGTGCTGTGGGGCAATCCATCCTACTCACTTTAGAGATACATAACATCACATCTAAAAATAGAACATATTCAGCACAGGTGTGCAAAACAATATCACTCTATTTCTTGTTAGCATTGCCTGTCCTCAAAAGAGAGTTTATCTTGATTTTATAAACAAAAAGTGTTTAACGAAAAATTCGCTGATCTCATAAGATTGTTTAAAGGCAAAGAGTGAAAGGTAATATATATCAAATATGGTAAATATAAAATCTCAACACCAGTAACTATGAAATTTTAACTAATAAGGGCCGCATAGTAACAACATATTTCTTCGGTTTTGACCAAAGTTAGCTGTTAAAATATTTTTATTCTCGAATCAGCTCTTATCTAAGCTTTAGTCTATTTAAAAATAAAATCACTTTTTAATTAAATTCTTTGAAATTTTTATGTAATACGACCTTTAAATATGAAACCGAACATTCTGGAGCTAATGTTCACTCAAGGCAGATTCCAGGAATTACGTTTTAATACAAACCCAAAACAACTAGAATTAAAACCGTTTCGTTTTCTACAGAAATAAGGGTATTATATCAACAAAGCGTTCATTTATATCTGCTTTCTGTTCTTTCTTTCATTAAAATTAATACATCTACGGTGTTCGCCTGCACACCGATAGAACAACCTAATGAATTTAGGTCAAATTAGGAAGATTAATACCCGTGATAAGGCATTTAAATTTAAATCAACCAAAGTTGGGTCCTAAATGGAAAACAATTCAGTGGAATCGTGTTGTGGGGATTCTGTGAAAAGCTTTCCTGTGGTACATTGTGTGATTCGCAATATTAGTAAAACTAATGATCATTCAATGTGATATTCATTGTACGAGAATAGGCGAAAAGTTAGTAAATGTATTTGCAGGATTTCTTTTAACTTTGTTACAATTGGAGAGAAAAATCCTAAATTCGCCCAAGAAATAATCACATTCTTCATTAATGTTACTATTTGCTCTATACAAGGTGATACAATAGTACATAATAATTAAAAACATTAAAAAATTTTAAATTTTGAAATATTTTTAGTCATTAAGTACAAAATAAATGGTTTTTATTGGGTTTCACTTTTCTAATATAATATTTAGTTCATGAGACCCAGCCATTGTAAGTTTTTAAATTGACACCCCGTATGTATAGACTATATTTTCATAAACAAGATTTTACTAGAAATGCCACAAACTGAATCCTTCTTAAAGGCTATCCACAAGTGATATTAAACTTAAATATTCTCTTACCCTCTGTAACGCCTTTCCTTTACAAACAGTTAGCCAACAACTGACAGACGGTTGAAACCACTCGTGACAACGTGGCAAAAGTAGTTTGTGATCGCCGCCCATTGGTAGATTTTGATTAAACGTTGCCAAATCTTTTACTTCAAGGTAAACCGAAAAAATCAGTCTATTGTAGGCAGCATCCGGATGTTCGTTTTGATTTAAAAAGGCAACTACTTCGTCGGATATTAGATGGTCAAGTTGTTTGAAGACTACGCTGAAATATGGTATGCCATTTGTTCTGGAATAAAAAGAATTAAATTAAAAAAATAACAAAAATAACAATTTAAATAAATTAAATATTTTTAGAAAATTTTCTTAAACATATTTTATTTTGGCTTCACAAATTTCAAAATTTATAGTATATCAGTTATTGGAAAATAGTCTCTCACTTCTGTGGTAAAGTCGAGAGGGTTGTATTTTTTTCCATAGATTACGATTGTAAAACATTTTCTATGCCGTTTTTAATGAGTTATAGAATTATATAAAACACATTTTTGAAAAAGTTTTATACGTTGCTCGAAATATAACTTTTAAATAATAATCAGTTGTTAAAAATCTATTTAACGTCACTATCTGAAGTAGGTAACAACTGAAAACTGGTTTATGATGTACTGCAATGTTATACCCGAGAATACCGATCAAGGAGAAGCGACAGTAGCTGTCGGTGCCTTTGATATCGGATGTACCTTTTTCATAGTATGACTTTGACTGATACACAACTTAGCACCTGAGAAAACATGCTTATTTTCTACACTGAGCGAAATAGTTTGGCAAATTATCTGAAATTATTGTTATAGTCCATGCGCAAATGTTGCAAGGTGATTTAATTACATTGAAGTAGTTAGGGTTAATAGCAATGCTGAAATTTCGGCACCAAAATATAATTCATTATGTAATAATTAATTATTTATTATAAAAGTAAAAGGCGTTTATTATTTTAAAATTTATCTATAAAATTTGTTCAATATTTGGTTTTTTTATTGTTAAAAATGTAATAAAAGCCCCATATTTAAATTAAATTACCTTTTCCTTAACTAAAAATAAGGTAAATAAAATTAAGGGTGTCAAGAAAAATTTAGGTAACAATTAAAAAGACATTAACTTTGAGAGGTTTAACTAAATATTTGCAATGTGCATATATTTTCAAATATTTTAGGTTTAAAAAGTACTTTTAGAATTTCTAGATTTATAATATATTAAAAGGACTTTCAAGTTTATCACTCATTTCTGTAGAAACAAGTGTTTTCTCGCCAAGTTAAACCAGATGTCATTTAAGGTTTATGTATTTAGAGTTAAATACCTGGCCTGGCTATTACCCAGACAATACAAATATATCCATTGGACGTCCATTCGATATACAATTTTGGATGTCTAGACGTCCAAAAATGAGTTTTCTGGACTTCCGACATCCAATGGACGTTCAGTGAAGTATACAAATGGCACACTTTTGACCATTCAGAGGACGTCCAATTCTGGAATATATTTAGACGTCGAATACTGGACATTCAAAAAACGTCCAGGATTATATTTCCATTGAGACCACATCCCCACTTTTTTACAGAACCGCAACTCACCACACACTATTTTATATTATTATTAATTTGTTTATTATTTTCGCAAATCGCTATACACCATTTATTTATTTTTTATTAAAAATCGCTTGACCTGAGCAGGAATTGAACTCACGACACATCCATTATCGTTTTACGCTTTCAATCGCTAGACGAGCTCGACCAAGGAGCCACTTGAAAACTTTTTACTAGATACAGTTATAATTGAATAAGATTTCAAACTTCCGCTGATAGAATGAAATGCAATAGATTCAATTTGTCAATTTTTTAATGACCAGTTATATTAAAAAAAGAAGTATATATAGATGGGTATTATCTGGTAGGCTTAATAAATAATGACCTAAGATGGACGTCCACTGGACGTCAAAATACTACTGAACTTAAAATTAAGTCCAAAAACAGACGTTCTCTGGGTATCGATATTAAGCTGTCAATTTAATTAGCATAAACGGACGTACACTGGATGCCCGGATATGGACGTCCTGTCCCTCAAATAGATCTAAAGTGGACGTCCATTGGACTATGAGTGCATAGACGAATTTTTAGAAATAGTACTTATTTAAGTATGCAACAATATTTCCAAAATCAACTCCAGTATGATTCATTCAATAAATGTAAATAAGAATGGGCAAAACATCTTTATATTGACATAATTGTAACTTACAATTTAGCCATAATAAAGGGATTTTGCCCACTTTGACCAATCCTAATTGAAATACGCGAATTTATTATATTTTTTAAAACATAATTTCAAAATAAAATAAACAAAATCTGCAGTTTATTGTTTATTAAATTTATTTAAAAGAAGAAAAACATATATTTCACAAAATACAATACCTACATATGAAAAATAAAATGTCAAAAATGATTAAATCATTATACTTAATATTTATGCATGTGATAAAATTCTTAGTTTCCTAATAACTTTTTTGGCACATTTTATATCTGTGTTAGAATACCTAAGTGTGTAAAAATCTTCATCTCATTACTACACAAAACAAACACCAAAAAATTTCACCTAACATTGCTCACGTACTAAACACAACTTGGACTGACTTTGACAGATAACATAATTTTGAGTGATACACAACTTATTTTCGCACATGCGCGTTACAAAATGGTACACTGAAAACACCAAGCTGTCGCTTCTCCTTGGTCGGTATTCTCGGATTATACCGTGATAACCAACCTCTGTTTATGGTTGTTAAGGGAGTCATAATGGGCTGGCCTGGTAAAAATTTTAATAACACTTATGACTAAACTGTCAGTTGTAACTGAACTGTCATTATTTTAAGTCACATTCGGAAACTTGTAAAGATGGTGTCAAATGATAAAATTGAAATTGATTTTAGGTTGTAAAACGTAGTAAACTTCAGTATATCATAAAACGTTGTACGATAAACGCCCCTGATCTCTACGTGCTCGCACGGCCATATAACGTGCTCCTACATTAACGACCGAGCTCGCATGTAAAGATCTAGGCAACGGGCTAATAACGTAAACTACTATTAAATATATTATTAAAGTTAAAGTGACAGAGAAAAAAGTGTGTATTTTCTCTAAAATAAGATGACAATTCTTCAGAAGGTAGGAGTGATCGGTAGTATTTTTTGTGAAAATTAGAAAGATTTTTATAAGTTCCAAATTATAAAAACCATTTTAAAAGTAACAAGTATGTTCCAAAGGAAGATATAAAAAAAAATTATTTAGGATTTTGTAAATAGTTTTTAATATTCTCTTAAAAAATGGCTTTGGCCACCAAACAAAAAAAAAAATACGTTCTTGTGTGCTACGGATTTTTTGTTACCTTATCTATAAAGATAAATACAAAAACTAAAAAATCAATCTTTTAATTCGTATCTCCGTAAACTGACAAACTACAAATTTAATGACTCTCGCTTTGGAAACCAACAAAGAAATTGAAGAGACCAAACACCCAAATTATGTATTCCCATACGAATAAGAGAAAGTGGATGCGCTAAAGACAGCAAACAAAAAGCGGATCTTTTTTCAAAGCGCCTAGAGAAAAGCCTTTAACCTAATGAATCAGATATAGTAAATAATCAAGAGGAAACGGGTCTGTTACGAAAAACAGCGCTCGAATGAAATATTGCTGCCTGGAATCATTGCGGGTTGTTTCGTAAAAAATTGTACAGAAAAAGAGAATATAAAAAAAACTTAACTAATTTACCTAACTTGTGCATGAGCAATCGGTTAATTTTAAATGACTCCAGGCCGCACAGGTTAGGTAAATTAGTTAGGTTTTTTTTTAGTGAATTTATCTAAAAATAATAGCGCTATTTCAAATCGCGCTATTTTGTTCAACGGTATTTCGTGACAGGGCCATTTCGGACTGATGCTGTTTCAAAACCAACTATTTTAAAGGACGCTATTTTATTAGGGCGCTGTTTTATTTTGGGCAATATTTTGACTGACGCTCTTTTAATACGCGCTATTTCATTTAGGTGCTCTTTTGATACGCGCTATTTTGAGTAAGCGCTATTTTGACCACCGCTATTTGGTCGGACGCTATTTCATTCAGAGCTACTTTAATCAGGTGCTCACAATATCTATTTTGATAAGCGCTATTTCGTTCAGCGCTATTTTGTGAAAACCATAGGAAACATCAATACAGAAGAAGTAGTGAAAAGGCATTATAAAACTTACAAATTTGATAATTGCATATTTTAGACTCAAGCATGTGCCAAGAATTTTAAAGATTGCGGATATAATTATGATCCTAAAACCTGGGAAAGCACCAAGTGAACCTAAATCATGCAGGCCCATTTTTCTTTAAGATTCAAAGTTATCATAGAGAGAAAAGACTAATAAAATACCATAAACTCAGATTTAGGACATAACATTCCACAATATATTAACTCCACGGGATACAGATCTAGTAGAGAAAGCATATAAAGAGAAAAAAGTCTGCTCCGCATTGTTCTTCTGGCATGAAAGAGCTTATAATAAAATTGAGACAAAAATGCTCACAAAACAGTATGTACAATTTCTGGAATCGTTCTAAAAGATACATTTTACAGAGCGAAAAAAAAAGGAGGAATACTCTGAGATAAAACAAACTAAAACAGGAATACCACACAGGAGTGACTTTAATTATATCTTGTAACTACTATTTAACTACGACATACCATAAAGGATTAATGTCAAAAGCGGTACGTTTGCTGATGGCAATGCTATTTTATTAATATGAACAAATGCAGATGTAGCCATTAAAAAGCTACAACACTAATGAATTCAGCAGATGGACTAAACAGTTGAGAATAAAACTAACCAAAGTAACATTAGTTTTATTCTCAACTGTTTAGTCCATCTGCTGAATTCATTAGTGTTGTAGCTTTTTAATGGCTTCATCTGCAATAAAACTAACCAAAATAACATTATTAAAAAGGGAGGAAAACACACTAGAAAACAAGAAGGTAATACTGGGAGCATTCTTGGATATCAAGGGTGCATTTGGCAATAACTCCGTTGAATCGATCATTAGATTTTTCAAACACAGAGGAATCGAGGACACATACGTGCCCTGGATCGACTCTATGTTAAGGGAGAGAACTATACACACAACCCTAATGGGAGAGACAATAGCAGCACGGGTAGCGAGAGGATGTCCGCAGGGTGAAGTGATGTCTCCACTCCTGTGGAACCG